CGAAATATCAGCGGAAATGAATCATGCATTGAAACGAAAATTTGCATGTATGCATGCGTAATTTGCTCGTTGCGCAGAGCTTCTTCACTGGAAATGATTTATTGAATTCTGCTGAAATATAAGGAGATTAGGAAGTAATTTTAAGTTGTACAGATTTAGGTTTAATAGATTTTGTAGGCAGCAGTAAGATTAAACTGGTATTTTTGACGATTTCGAGCAATTATATCTACATCTACTTGAAACCATTGAACAATAGTTCATTTTCATGGTCATTTTGACGACAAAATTGCTCGATTGAACAAAGAGTCATCGAGGTGTTTGAGAATTGAAGATGTGTTGAAGGAGGACATAAGCACAACTGAGGATACTTCGATCGTTACCGATTTGAAACACTTTTGATTTCAAATAAGAAATACCACTAACAAGCCAATGCCGTGATTTAGGCTTTGCATTTTGTAAGGGAAAATAATTCAGTTATCAATTCAATTAAATCGGTTCTCATTGCTCTTCAGCGGTATTTGTTCGAATCTATCGAAGTTTCTCACTGTCAGCGAACACCTCTCAACTTAATGCATTCGAAGTATTTTAATCTCAATAATCTAATCACTCATTTTTGATCATTGGCTTAATGTGCAACTCAAATTCCGACCTATAGAATTGTTTGCAGCTGGAACGAAAAATAATTTTCTCATTAACTGATGATAAATCAACCAGAACCAATGCCTGGACTCCGGACTGAATTCTTTGTCATCTATCTCATTTCAGCTTTGATAATTAATTAATTTGTGTATTACATGTTCAGAATTGAACAATGACTGGGCTCATGAGGAAACCCTGATTGTAGCAATGTGTTGACAAACAGTCATTCTTGATCATATTTTTCGAGCTTGTTCCCAAAGATATGAGTTAATTTTAGGCGGTGAAAAACGATCAGCGGAAAACGGATGTTCAACGGATGAATTCAGATGCGATTCAGGCGAATGCATTCCAAATGAGAAGAAATGCGATCGTCACTACGACTGCCCCGATGGCACCGATGAGACAAGATGCGGTATGACATCCTTGAATTTATCATTCGCTAGCCAATACATTTTCCTGATTTACGGCTTTAGAAAACACAGCATTTTAAGATTTTACGAAGGGATGTAAGGTGGACAGATCTGTTCAAAAAACAGCAGTATTGAGGAAGATAAAGAATTACAGCATGCTTGCTAAGCCGAATTAATTTGATTAAGCGATCTCATATCTGTTAACATCAAACAGATCATAGCGTTTTATACTAAGATCATCATGAGCATAAACATTGAGCATTCAAATGACTGGGTTTACAGATGGATTTACAGCTTTTTAACATTTTGTCACGATTATTCCAATGATAAGTTTGAATTTGTCTCAACAATAATGCAACTGCCATAAAGGCCTAAAGAATGCAAACAGTTCAGAATGCGTTTTCTCTAAGCGACTGCATGACAAATTTTGATTAATCGTGAAGAATTTCATTGAATTTCCCAAGCAAAAAGCAAATCCCTTGTTCTGAAACGAACGATTCCACTCAATCTGTTTATGTTTTCGAATGTCTAAATGCGTTTTTGTTCAGCCATTCTGTCTAGATCACATGTCGAATGGATAATGCCAATCAATTTAGCGTTTTTTTTCACAAATTGATTGGTTCGTTGACATTTGTATGAATGTTAACATTTGAGGTTTCTTCTATTTACTTCTTCGAATTGGACTCGTTTAAATTCGCAAAATTTCGCCCTCTTTGTTTTGCTTGCACACATTGTTTGTCGTCGTTGTTTTGTCAGATTCGATTTTTTTCGATCAACCGAATGATCGATTCGCAAAAAATGCCTTCAACTGAGCCTAGCTGTTCAAATGGCGTACTTTGAAACGGTCATTAATTTAGGCAAAATATGAAATTCTGCACTCTCTGAGATAGATTTTGAGTTGAATGAACCGCATAGAAAACCGAAACCAAAAAACGACGTTATAGGGAAAGTAATTTTTGCGTTGAATGATACAGAAAATGTAATTGATGTGAGTCGTGAGGAATGAACCGAAATTTATTTCGTTTTGATGCGATTCGATTCTAAGGATACAAATGAAACTATAATTGTGACATATACATTTATATTGGATGTGTTCAATGAGACGAATTTGAATCATTAATGTGGGAAATCGTTGTGACCAATATTTGACCAAAACGCTTTTCTCTTCTTTCTTTGCACTCGCGAAGAATGTGCAGATTTTTTGTTCGATTAGCATTTTGAAAGTGATTCATTCATTCATGTATGCCATGTGATTTCGGCTACTATTCAATGACAACCGTAAACATCGTTCAAATTGAATTCATTTGTACAATCCTATCAAATTACTCATGTCTCAATGAGAGATCTCTAGCAGGCGCGTTCATGAATTAGCATGATCAGATCGGATGTTGTCAACTTGATCGTATGCATATGAAACTCTGTCATGTGTGGGGGCATTCCTGTAAGAACTTATTGTGACATTTTTCAAGTACATGTCCAGCGGCATTGCCACTGGACATAATCACCCTCTCAGTTGCATTTACACTCTTGACTCGTCTCATTTTAAAATGGTGTATGTTCAATGTGATCAGTATGAATGAGATTGCAAAATGCTTCAGAGTATTTCCTGCAAGCAACACGTTATCATGCGTCTGAAACGTCGAATTCAGTGAGTGCTCCTGAACAGCGCAGTGACCAACACAACAACGATCATGCATATCAATATCAAGCAGCCATCTCAGAGGTCATCCTTATCCTTTCGAAGGAGTTCATAAAATGTTCATCAAAACCCCTCACGAGAACTTTTGGGACACTTTGTTTGATGTTACTTGAAAAAAGCATCATTTTTTAAGAATTTTCTTCTCAGTTTCAGCTGAACATCGTAAATTTTTACAGATTTCTGGTGCAGATGAAGCACGTCGAAATAACTACCAGGAATACAACCAAAAGGAAGAGCAAGCAGTGCAAGCCGTGTCACCAGATATGGAATGCAACGGCTCGGAATTTAGGTGAATCATTGTTTTCACACGTCCAATAAGATTTGCTTGCTAGATACAATGTGGCCAGATACAGTTTGAAAAACCAATTATGATAGTGTAGATCATATCTGGTAACGTAACGAAGGCAATGCTACGGTTAGCCCGAAACTCCACTCGATTCGGGTGATTTCAGTTCATGCTACTGTAAACGCCGCGATTTCTCGTCTTTATGATGCTCATAGTTGAGAACGTTTCACCAGAAGCCACCAAAATGATTTGTTCATTTTTTTGCGGCAGCACCATGAATGGCGTCTCGATAAAGCAGTCGTTAAATGAGACCCTCAAACAAAAAAAAACAATGTACAACAAGCAATAAAATTTTAATTATCACGTGATAAACATCACATGATAATGATAAACATCACAAGCATTCGAATTATTCGATTAGATGGCGAGGAACTGTTATTCGTCGGTTTTCTTTATGTCTCAGTCAACAGCACACAACAAAAATCTGCCCCTAAAAATAGACATTTTGTAGTGCCTGAGTCATCTCATTTACTGGATTGATTTTCATCAATCGCCTTCCCTAAAGTAGCAATCGCTCAAGCTTTGATGCGCTAATCCGATCCGGTTTGAGCATAGCCAACAAAAGCACCTCAGCTCAACTACTAATGTCGAAAAACGAATTTGACCTGAGTTCTCGAACTTTTCCGACTTTTCTGATGAATCCACTTTTGCACTCTGCTGATCAATCGCAAGAACGCAGTATTTATCACAAACAATCACCAGAATGTTCATTGTGAGCAATTTTTTGTTTTTGTCGAACAGATGGAAAGTGCATCAGGATTATCGATGTACAAGAGTGCATCGACGAAATTAATCAGACTATGGCCTGATTAATATGATACTTTAAAAAGTTTATAACTTTCAATCTTGAGCTCCGCTCTAATCGCATTATTTTGCGTCACAAATTTAAATCTTTAATGCGCTTTAATGCATTGTCTGCGAGTTGAGAATGCAATTTTTTTGCCTACAATCAAGCGCAGTGTTATCAATTGCGTATGTGGGCAATTCAGTGTTATGAAAGACTGATTAAAATTCCGAAAAAATCGCCTGACTGCGAGATAAAGTCGTTTTTTTACATTCTCAATGGCGCCATTCGGGTCTACAATAGAGCGAACACAAAATGTTGCATTTTACCGTATCACGAGCTGTCGTCTTAAGTTTTATTTTGTCCCGATGTCTTTGCTTGGATTTTTCTGCTGTACATTTTTTTGAATAGTGAGATTATGCAAGAGCATAAAAATGAAAATGTACTTTTAACTGCTTGGCGATAACAACGTTTAGTGATAAGCACAGCGTTGCTTGTCCTTTGTGTTTTTTGTTTTCGTGTTTTTGCCGGTTGTTTTTATGTTAAACACCATCTGAGAACATAATTTTGGAGCCATCGATTTGTCAACGAAACAAGAAGCAATTTCAGCTGAAAAAGTACGAATTTTAGCTGGCGATTCTGAAAATAACAAATCTAGAAGAAAAGATCAAAAAGCATGTGCTCAGTTACATAAAATGAGAATACGCAACATGGGAATTTGAGAAGTGATGTGAATCAATGCCTTAAGCAATCATTTTGAGCAATGATTTCCTCGGATATCATATCCGGAAGAGGCGCTTTTCTGATTATTTCCATAAATGTTTGCAGAATAACTTGTTCAATCAGTGATTCACTGAAGGTAGCAGATATCAGTGTTATGCTTATGTAGAGAAATGGTGACTTTCAGATGTCCATATTTAACGCATACGGTATGTGTGCATTACGATAAGCTCTGTGATGGTGTTGATGATTGTGGAGATGGTAGCGATGAGTTGAAATGCGAGAGTCAAAGTCGAGAGGAAGGTGCTTGCGGATCGAACGAATACCGATGCGATAACGGACAGTGCATACCCAGCGAATTCAAATGCAATCATCGATATGACTGTCAAGATGGCAGTGATGAAACTGTTTGTGGTGAGTGAATCACTAACAGTTCAGTTTCAGTTGCTGACCTTTACTGGGGTCAGCTTCTGTTGGTTATGCCAGCGAAGTAGTGTATGTCTCACGGTTTTGAATGCAAATGATAGACGATGAAAATATTCTGATCAATTTATTGATTTTTGATTTGATCAAGGTTTTTTGACTTCTTTAATGGCATCAAGGCAAATCTGTAGAGCATTCTCATAGGGCTTCAAGCATCTCACAGACTCATAGACCACAGACCCATATAGATCCTTCAAGTTATGTCATAAGTAATGAATATTCTAGAGAGGAGTTGGTATTTCAGAGCTCTTCGATTACCTGCATTCAGTGCATATCAGTTTATTCAGAAATCTGAAAAAAGTGACAAATTAACAGTGAGTAGTAATGTATTAGTACATGTGAGCAATAGAAAGTAAAGCGTTCAGATTTTGAAATCAGCAGAATTATATTCAAGCAGATAGCATAGCAAGCTAATTTGAAGCTCTTGGATGGTCCACAAATAGTATCACTTCATCGCTTCTATTCTAGTGACGAGTGATAGCCTGCTCGATAGTAAATACAAAAATTCAAATTCAATATAATACAAAAATTCAATATTTACATAGGCAGATTTGTGGATTATTTTATTGCCGATGTTTGCATTTTGGTTTAGTGTCACCAGTCCACGCGAGTCATCATTTTCATTCCAGCGCCATAGCGCTTCCACAAAAAAGGATTATTCGTTGATTGTAAGATTTTTTCCACTGATCAAACAAAACTGTCCCACTCGGCCACCACAACAACAACACTAACTCAAACAAATGACGGACGCCTTCTTGGAATGCTAACCACTCAAAAGGCATAAGTCCACAATGCCTTGCCTCTTCCTTTAATCAGCTTTGCTCA